ATTTTTACACCCCTAAGAATGGCTTTTTCTGGCAAAATTATATTTTTATTTATAAAAAATTAAGAAATCTGGCCTCTTTTGTCTACCAAAATTCTCAAAATTTTCGCCTGCGGCGCTGACAAGTGAAGATTTTTGGCTTAAGGATCTTCCAAAATTCTCAAAATTTTCGCCTGCGGCGCTGAAAATCGAAGAAGCTGTGGAGTTGTAGTATAGAAGATTTCTGTGATTTACTAAGATTATGGTGATGAGGGATTTGCGGTAATAAAGAGAGATATCAACGTGAGATATCAATGGATTTGAGTGATTAATGTTGCATAGGGGGTTTTAATACTATAGAGGGGTTCTCAAAAAAGTTCCAAAGTTCTCAAAATTTTTGCCTGCGGCGCAAAAATGGAGGAAATCCGTCTTCTTGACTTAAAAGTTCTCAAAATTTTCGCCTGCGGCGCTAGTAAGGAAGATGCCTGACTTCTTTGCCAGTGCTTCGAAATTTCAAATTTGCTCGTACTCGTACTTCGTACCACCTCTTTTTTTGGCCTCGTACTCGTACTCGTACCTCGTACCACCTCTATTTTTGGCCTCGTACCTCGTACTCGTACCTCGTACTTACTCGTACTTGAGAAAAAAGCAAAAAAACGAAAAATTTTATGATTTTTTGGAGCCTAGGGCATCTATTTTTAAATTTTAAGCGTTGTATGTGATGATTTTTTATATAATCCATTTTCTGCGCCGCAGGCAAAATTTTTGAGCATTATGGAGTGCAAGGAGAAATATTTCCTCCAAGATGGGTCGTGCTACCCGAAATCCGACATTTTTTCATCAGATTTTCATCTTCTTACATTGAACTTTTATCTTTTCCACCGAACTTTTCAGATTCTAATCTCCTGATATCCTTTTTAATCTCAAATCCCTTTTTTCAAAAATTTTGAGAATTTTGGATGTCCTTAAGACAAATTCTTCTATTTTTGCGCCGCAGGCGAAAATTTTGAAAAATTTTGAAGGCCATGAAGCCAGATTTCTTCCATTTTTCACCACCGGAGGCGAAAATTTTAGAATTTGGAAGCCATTAATCCAACTTTCTTATTTTTTCAGCGCCGCAGGCGAAAATTTTGAAAATTCCTGAAGGCTGAAGGCGAAAAAAACTTACTTTTTAGAGGTACAATGCAAATTTTAAATAATTTTAGAGGGCCAAAAACCTATAATTTTTTCATGTAAAAATAGAATCGTTTGATCACTCGTCCGGTTGATCATCACTCGGTTTTCGATTTCGATATCTCTCAACTTTTCCCGATTTTCACTTTCCAGGTTGATCACTCAACTGATTGATCACTATTGGTTGATCACTCACACGATTGATTACCCACTTCGCTGATCATTCAACGAAATGAAGTTTGTTCCGCCATTGGAACAACCTCCGCATGTTGTATAATAAAATTTAAAAAATTTAGTGTTGATTTCATGAACGAACAATGTGAATAATAAACGAACAATGTGAAGAAAGTGAGAAAAATGTTACTGGGAAAGAAAAAATATATTCTTACTGGGTAACTTGGTAACAATTACAGAATCTTTTTTTAATCACATTATCTTTTTTTAATTACATTTAAATAGTTTTAAAATTTGCTCAATAAACTCAGAAATTTAAAGTTAGAAAATCATTATCATTTAATACTATTTATTCGAGCCTGTATTTAATTTGTTTTCTTCTTAATTCTTTGATGTCTCTTGTGACAAGTGTCGCAATTATATTGTTCGGGTATTGAATGACGGTACCAATGTGATGTTTTTGTTGCTCCGCAAGTAAAACATTTTCGATCTTTTGTGATTCGCTAAAATATTTATAAAAATAGGAGTTGCAACTAGTTCTCAGTTAAAAATTTTTAAAGCAATTTTTCTAATTTTCAAAAAATGATTTTGTGAGTTTTTTAACTATTTTATTATTTTCTGTTTAAATTTCATTCCAACAAGCGGTAAAAGTAATGTTCTTGGAAATATTTAGGAAAATACAGAAATCCATATACATAAATATGATCCCTAATAAGTTCATATAAATATGCTCTAAACATACCAGTGCTTCGAAATTTCAAATTTGCTCGTACTCGTACTCGTACTTCGTACCACCTCTTTTTTTGGCCTCGCACTCGTACCTCGTACCACCCTATTTTTTTGCTCGTACTCGTACTCGTACCTCGTACCACCCTTATTTTTGGCCTCGTACCTCGTACTCGTACCTCGTACTTACTCGTACTTGAGAAAAAAGCAAAAAAACGAAAAATTTTATGATTTTTTGGAGCCTAGGGCATCTATTTTTAAATTTTAAGCGTTGTATGTGATGATTTTTTATATAATCCATTTTCTGCGCCGCAGGCAAAATTTTTGAGCATTATGGAGTGCAAGGAGAAATATTTCCTCCAAGATGGGTCGTGCTACCCGAAATCCGACATTTTTTCATCAGATTTTCATCTTCTTACATTGAACTTTTATCTTTTCCACCGAACTTTTCAGATTCTAATCTCCTGATATCCTTTTTAATCTCAAATCCCTTTTTTCAAAAATTTTGAGAATTTTGGATGTCCTTAAGACAAATTCTTCTATTTTTGCGCCGCAGGCGAAAATTTTGAAAAATTTTGAAGGCCATGAAGCCAGATTTCTTCCATTTTTCACCACCGGAGGCGAAAATTTTAGAATTTGGAAGCCATTAATCCAACTTTCTTATTTTTTCAGCGCCGCAGGCGAAAATTTTGAAAATTCCTGAAGGCTGAAGGCGAAAAAAACTTACTTTTTAGAGGTACAATGCAAATTTTAAATAATTTTAGAGGGCCAAAAACCTATAATTTTTTCATGTAAAAATAGAATAATTTTTAAAATAAAATTAAATTTATAAAATAAGTTATTTATAAAAAGGAAAACATCAAAGTTCATTGTCCAGTGAATAGGAATCGAACCCAATATTAAATCATTAAAGACTTTGGTGCAGCCACGCACCTTTACCACTCGGCCACTCGCTCATGAAAGGGCGAATGAAAGGAATTAAATATATTTCTTTAATTTTCCTATTAATACCAAGTACGAGAAGTACGAGCTCGTACTTGGGCCTCGTACACAAATAAATAAATGTGAAACAATTAAATAAAACTCCTGGATCCACAAGGATCACTTATGGAGAGGTAACATATAAAAAAATCAAATCAAATACAATTATACAGTTAAAAGAAAATTTTAGTTAAAAAAAATTAAATAAATGGACTCCACAGAAACAAAACTAAATGTAAATTAAATAAATAAAAGTGGATATCATAAAAAATATATATGTAATTACGGTAAAAAAATATTTGTATCAAAATTAATTTACTATTTAAAGATAAGTATGTTTAATAAAGAAAGTGAACCTTTAGACAAGGATTTTATTATTTTTTTTTGTTTTTTATTATTACACTCCATTAATTCGTTACTCATAAATTAGGGTCTTCTGTGATTAATATATTGTCTAAAAATTTTTTAAATTGAGGAATGGTATTGATTTTTTCGATTTCATTTTTTGGAAGTTTATTCCACCTATCTATCACTCTATGTGAAAAGAAATGGTTATTCTGAGCTTGTTTCTTAAATATTTGATATCTATGCAAGCGCGGATTATTTCTATTAGGTTTAGAGAACATTTGTTCTGGTTTTATTTTATAGAAACCCTTTATTATTTTGAAGGTTGTCATAAGATCTGTTCTTATACGACGGATATTAGTTGGGGGAAGACTGCATCTTTTTAGTCTATCGGTGTATTCTATTTTTTGGTATTTGAATTTATATCTTAGAACTTTTCTTGTAAAGCTTCTTTGTGGTTTCTCTAATTGTTTGTTGAGATATTCTAGTTTAGGGCTAAAACTTTCAGTGGAATACTCCATAATTGGTCTTACGTATGTTTTGAATGCTTTTACATATGTTTCTATTGGTAATGTTTTGGGTAATATTCTTAGAATATTATTTAGCCTTATAAATGAGGACTTAGTAATTTTTGCTACATGTTGATCAAATTTAAGTTTGTTATCAATATATATACCTAGGTCTCTTATATTATTAACTTCCTCGATTTTTTCACCACTTATGGCATAATTAAACTTAATTTTGTTGTATATTTTTAGAACCTTTACTTTTGTGATAGAGAATTTAAGTTTATTCTTTTCAGCCCATTTACATGCATTGTCTATAGCCTCCTGTAATTGTATACAGTCATTTTCTGTCTTGATTTCTGAGTATAGCTTAAAATCATCTGCATATAGTTTTACTTTTATATTTGTCGGAATCAGGGCTGTGCGTCATGGCGTTTGGCGTTTGGCGTTTTGCGTTTTGGCGTTAATTTTGGCCGATTTTTGGCGTTTTGCGTTTGGCGTGATTTTCCGATTTTGGCGCGCCAAACGCCAAAAATATACACCCCTAATGATGGAATTTTTTTTAAATAAATGGAGAAAGGGATGATCGAAAAAGGAAATTTTTCTGCATACAGTCATCCAAAATTCTCAAAATTTTCGCCTGCGGCGCTTAAAGGAGGAAGCCCTTATCTTAAACTAATAGATGGTAAAAAACTAGTCCCGTCAATCGTTTACTCTCTTCATGACCTCTGTTATACTCATTACTCCCTTTATCCCTTCATATCCACCTTAATCTCAAGGAGTTCTATGAATTTCTTATTTTTTAAAATTTTTTAAAGGATAAATTTCGGCTTTTTTGCCTCCAAAATTCTCAAAAATTTCACTCCGGCGGTAAAAAAGGATGAATTCTGGCTTCTGGGAATCTTGAAAATTGAAAAAATTCGCCTGCGGCGCTAAAATGAGATGAACAGTGATTTTTAAGTCTTTATAGACTCTAAAAATTTTGGCGTTTGGCGTTTGGCGTTTGGCGTTTTGGCGTTGATTTTGGCCGATTTTTGGCGTTTGGCGTTTGGCGTGTTTTTAAAATTTGAAAAATTGGCGTTTGGCGTTTGGCGCGCCACGCGAAAATTTTGGCGCACAGCCCTGGTCGGAATGTTTTTGGGTAGGTCATTTATAAATATTAAGAACAATAATGGTCCCAACACCGTCCCTTGTGGGACACCTGTTTTTGGCAGAAATGGTTCAGAAAAATGTTCACCTATTTTTACAGTATGAGATCGATTTGTGAGAAAATTTGCTATCCATCTAATTGTTAACCTATCTATTTTTATTTCACATAATTTTCTTATAAGTATTTCGTAATCTACACTATCAAAGGCTTTTTCAAAATCAAAATAAATGACGTCTGTGCCTAACTTCCTATCAAGTGAGTTGTACCAATCTTGCATTGATGATAAAAGTTGGAGTGTACAAGAGCTTTTAGGTAAAAACCCAAATTGCTCTTCAGCTATTATTTTATGCTTGTTAAGGTGTTCTAGTGTGTTATTCGCTATCAGACGCTCAAAAATTCTACAGATTGGGGATGTTAATGCGATTGGTCTATAATTTTTAGGATCGTTTAAGGAACCCTTCTTTTTATATATAGGCAGAATGTGTGCTTTTTTCCATAATTCAGGAACAATTCCGGTTTTAAACGTATTGTTATATAAGATTGAGAGTGGGAGAGCCAAGGGGGTAGCACATTTTTTTAGAAAATATTGATTGATATTCTCAGGGCTATGGGATAATTTATTTGGGAGCTTTTTTAATAATTTTTCTATTATATATGGTTCGAAAATATTTTCTCCTTGATATTCATCCCCAGATTTGAGGCTCGCTTGTTTATTGTTTCTATCTCCACTAACTATTTCGTCAAAAATTTCTCTAAATTTATTTGCTTTGTCTGTGTCAGATATTATTGGGTCACTTTCTTCAGATTCCTTAAGTATAGGTATACTAGAGAAGTTAAAACGATTTTTCTTTATTAGTTTATGTATTTCCCTTATATGCCCAGATCCTATCTTCTTAGACAGATAATTGTTTTTATGTTTCTCTATTTGTAATTTACATTTGATTTCAAGGCTTTTATAGGTATCTTTACTAATTGCACCTAATTTCAGCTTTTTCCATGCAACAGCCTTTTGTTGGATGATTTCTCTAATTTCCTTAGGGTATTTCATGGGTATTTTTTCGCTAAATTTTTTAGATGGGATAAATTTTTGGATTGTTTGGGTTATTATGGAATTTAATATGTCAGCTATTTCCGAGGGATTTTTGTTATTGAATATATTGTACCAATCATATTGAGCTAAATACCAATTTATTATTTTATATTTTCCTTTCTTAAATAATAATACTTTTCTTTTCTCTTTAGATTTTACTTTTTCGATCGGAAAATTTACTTCAAATACTATAGGTTTATGGTCACTCACAACTAAGTCATCTATAATTTTATATTTTTCGATTAATTGCCTATTTTGAAGAATTAAGTCTAGAGTATGGGAAGTATTGTACATTGTTGATTCCCTTATAACCTGATTTAAATTTAGTTTATTTATTGTATTATAAAAATATAAGCTCTGTTTATCTTTTGGAAGTGTAAAATCATGCCAATTTATTTTTGGAAGGTTTAAATCCACTAATATAATATTTGAAAGTTCATTTTTGTACTTTTTCTTTATTATTCCCCAAAATTTTTTATCGTCTGTTAATTTTGTATTTGGCGGTCTATATATTAAGTGGAATCTAATCCTTTTAAATTCAGAATATATATCAAGGGTAAGAAGCTCATGACTAAATTCGGAGATTGAAAGAGTTGGAACATATGTAATTTTTAATTCCTTTTTATAAACTACGCCTACGCCGCCTCCTCTTGATTTTGCTCTATCTACTCTTAATAAATTATAATTTTCAGAAATAATGAGGGATTCGGTAGATATTTTATCAGTTAACCATGTTTCAGCTAAAAACGCTACATGAATATCGTTTTTAATTAAATAATTTTCTAGTTCAACTAATTTATATGCGACTTTTTCAGAATTAATGGAGCGTATATTTAAGAGTAAACAATTTAAATTTTTTATTTTTCTGTTATTTTCTTGAGTATTTTTCTGTGAGGTCCCTAAATCCTAGTCCAAGTTCACTTGCTTTTTATAATAAATTTTAAGATTACGGTAACAAGCTGTGCCATTTCCATGTTTTGCATTAATTTCTTTAACCTGTTGTTTGAGGTAATTTTGTAGTTGTAGTTCAGGTGGGGTTAAGTCCCTTCTTGCGAAAGGACTATTCCCACCTAAGGTAGGTTTGTGTATTGTTCTATATTGATTAATAAATGAATGTGCGGCAGCTGGAGTCGAAAATTTAACTTTGATGATTCGATGATAATTGTTTTGCTTCTTGATCCCGTGTCGTTTAACTTCGAAATTTTTTGCTTCCTTAAAGTTTTTGTTGTTTATTACTATTTGAACATTTCTTTCTATGTTCTTTAAGTCTTCTTCCTCATTTTCCAATTCTGGAAATCTTTCAATGACTGCGTAAAAAGTCTTCTTTTTATAAAGTTCTTTCAAATTTTCATCAAATACGGGCTGTTGAAGCTGTTCAATTGTCATTGCAGCTTGTTTAATTTTTGGTGGCATTAAGTTTGGGGGGCAACCCCATCGAGAAGTTGATTGTTGTGTTTGGGAAGGGAGATGGTTGTTGTTGTATTTCTGGTGTAATTGTTCAAATAATGTTTTAATTGTTGTTTCAATAATGGGTGTCAGAAGTTGGACAACATTTTGGGTGATTTGCTCAAGTTGTGTTTGTGTTAAAATAGGTGTTTTATCAACTTCGATATCAGAACTAATCGATTCATCGCGAAGTCTTTTATGATTTCCCATGAGGATTATTTTATTTGAAAATATTTATTGAGGAATGAAATACATTGAAAAAGCGTAAATAACAAAATAAGAATGAAACACGAAGATTATTAATAATTTAGACATTGAGGCTTTGAATTTTAAAATTTCTAAAAATTTTTATTAAATGAAAAAAATTTTAAATTATTTACTTATATATTATGTAAACTGATAACATAAAATCTGCTAACTTAAAGAACTTACCGTATTTTTCCCAATAGAAGCGCACGTCCCATTTGAAGAACACGTTCCATTAGAAGCGCAGTCTACGAGGAGGTTGAAAAATACAAGCGCAGGTCTCATTAGAAGCGCACGTCCTATTAGAAGCTCACCCTATGAAATAGTTATTTGAGCAATTACTCTGTTACATAGTTACTATTTTAAACAAGTATTATTCATTTACGATTAAGAATTTACACTTTTTTATAAAATTGGATTCTTTCCTCCACAACCACTCCCCGTCCCCCCCCCCCCCCCCCCAATATGATTTATAATGATACGACTAAAACCGGACCTTACATATACCCCACCCCATATCCTCTATACTGATCCACCAAAACCGACTTGACTTTGTTTCAACCCCTCTTCTCTACTTCGTTTGATTAAAATAATCAGCTTTAAAGTCCTAATATGTATCTTCTAGCATTTTAGTTATATCTTTCATAGCTTCCAAAAAATATCATTAAGAAAGGGGTAATAATTTTTTTAGTACATCTACTAGGTATCTTTATTTTTAGTTTTTTATTTATTAAGACCAGTGCTTCGAAGCTCGTACCAAAATTCGTACTCGTACTTCGTACCAGGTACGAGTACGAGTACGAGGTACGAGTACGAATTTTGGTACGAGCTTCGAAGCACTGGGTGTTACTCATACATCACACTGGTACCGTTATTCAATACCTGAACAAAGTTTATGTAATAAAATCCCGTGGCAATAAATATCCATGGCAATATACTTAAAGTGCATTTATTAATTTCGAAAGGTCGTCTAAGTAAAAAATAATTAAATAATAAAGCGGTATATTTCAAAATTTCTTTAATGTTTATCAAGTAAAATCGATAAAGTACTTTAACACTTTTGAAAGAATCTGTTTGTTTATTAAATTAAAATGTTAAGAATTTTAAACGAATTTAATAAACATTGTAATTTTTCCTGGAATGTCTAAAGCAAAAATGTACTTTTTACAACAAAAAGGGGGAAAAAGAAGGCCGCTAAACTTTTTGAAAAAGAATAATACCTACTATAATAAGTTTCCAGATGAAATATTACATTAACAAGTTTAATCTAATAGGATTAAAATAAATGAATAATTAAGAATTTTTGTGTTTGAGGAGAGAAAAAACAAAATTTGCCTAACATTGTAGTCTATAAATTTAAACTTTAACGTCTAAATTTTTAACATCAAAACTCAACAAAAATTTCTTCAAAACAGAAAACATCAAATTTAAAAAATTAAAAAAGTAATCATCAAAAAGCATCTTCACAAATTAAGTTTATTGGCGAAGCCAATCAATTTAAATTAAAGAACGTGGTGGAACATCATAAAGTTAAATCAATATCTTCAAAAAATAAGCAATCTACAAACCAAACTAACAACAAAACTTATAAAACGCAAAATCGTCAAATGGAATATCGCTAAAACTTTAAATCGAGTTTTAGCGATATTTTCATCCATTTTTTCATTTCCGCTCAACTGTTTAACCGCAAACCTATAATTTTTTAATGCCTTTTACTTTTCCATTGCCCACATTCCATTCCACGCACATTGATTGTGGCCTATTTATTTAAACCTAATCATTTTCTATCATTTTTATGTTTTGACATACACAGTTCTGACTTACCCACACCTAATCATTCTATATCTTTTCCAATCCCATAACCATTAGTACACATACATAATTGTAAATTTCTTTAAATCAAATAAATATTATTTAAATATTCTTTTGTCTTGTGTTTAATATTCTTTGGGAATATTCGCCTAACTTTCGTCTACGTCTAAACTTGGCCGTCTAAAACCCTTTGCCTCCTCGTTTGGTTTGCCCTGTCTTAATCTTTGGGATTAAGACATTCACCTCATCAACACCCTTAACCCTTATCTTTATTTTAGCGGTTAAGCTTCTTTGATCCCTCGTCAGTGGATTCCCGACCTTAGAAGTTTGCCGTTATGAATAAACATAAAAGCAGCGAGGAGGGAAAATTTTTTGGAGATTTTTAACAGACTGGGAGGGAAGAAATAGACAGGGAGGACAGGGAGGGCTTAATAGACAGGGAGGGAGAGACATTGATTAATTAAAATCTTATGATTTATTTTCACATGATTTAAATTTTTGACATTGAATGATAGGCAAGATGAAAGAAAATAGGAGTAGAAAAGCAAAAAATTTTACTCTGAAAAAGTTGTTTAGGAGATATATACAGTAATTCCAGGTTTGCTCATGAACGCAGTTTTTGCTATACATGTTCGGATTAATGCGTGAGGTCCCCGTGAGTTCCTTCTAACTTTTGAGGCACATCCATCATCCGGTATCCAAGAATAATCCGTTTTTACTCAAAACTTACAACCTGTATAATATTTTTATAATTGTCAATTTCATTTATGTAAATTATAAAAATGTTTGTGATAAATTAAGGTAATGGAAAAATAATTTTAATTACCGGATTTTCTGCTTGTTTAGTTTCGAACTAAAATGTACTGAAATGAGTTAAATAAATAATTTGTTCATGATCAGTTCATTTGTTTTTTAAAAAGTTTTTTTAATATTGTTTTTTCTCTTTAAACTCTTCGCAAAACTCAAAA